TTCACCTACAGGAATGTTGTGATTTGTTAGCCCCTCTCTATGTTTGTCACATGTTCCAATCACTACAGGCACTGTTACTCTATTTGCTAACTTGAGCTGACCATCAGTCATGCACAGTTTAATCCTGGTATAGCACTTCCTTCTTGTGGTGAATCTGACGTGTTGTCTTGATTTTCTTTCTTCTGACAAAAGCATCCATGGTGATAGTCACTCTTTTCTTATTTCTTACCAGCATCATCTTTGTAGGCAGCTTCAGGTGCTTTATTTTGAAATTTCTGCTGTTGCTTGTTGGTGATGGACTTTCACTCCTTTGCAGTGTACCCTATTTTATAACAAATATAGCATCTTTTCTTCCTCTTATCCACTGAGTTTCTGTCACCTTTGGGGGTATCCTGTTTTTATTCAGCCAGTCCTGGTTTCAAGTTTAACTAGTTATTCTTGAATTTGCCAGTTATACTCCCTCCATGGGCTTATATATACTCTTCTCCCAGCTTGATCATCTCATCCACGTCTTTCAGTGCTCTCTCTTTTAGGAACAGTGATATGTCAGTTGAGCATGTGATCATGAACTGTTCACGTATTAGTAAATCTGCCAGTCCCTCAAAACTATTTTCACATTTAGCCATGTCAGTTCATCTTGTGAAGTATTTCCGTATAAATGCCACAAAATGAAATATAGTTTCTCCAGTGTTAGGTTTAACTTCTCTAACTTCTGACAAAAACCTTCATCGGTAAGTTCATAGCATTTCAGTAATGCCACTTGTAACTTGTCATAGTCCATGGTATCTTCTGATGTCATGCCTCCATATACTTGTAGGCCTTTCCTGTAAGAAATGGGCAGAAAAACAAATTGCCCAGCAACTTTTGTCCCAGTTCTGACTTTGGGCAAATCTTTTATATTTCACCAAGAAAGCATCCATATTATCTTTCTGTTCATCAAATCTGAGCAACATAGGTCAGCTGGCCCTGACACTATTGTCATTCTTGGGCCCTTTCTCTTTCTGTTGAGTGAATTTGGCTATCTCAATTTATGCTCTTATTCTCTCTGTTTCCAGTCCCTCCTCTTTCTCCTTTTCTTCTTTCTCAATTTGTGATCTTATTCTTTCTCTCTCCATTTCTTCTTTCTCTCTTTGTGCTCTTATCCTCTCTATTTGCAGTTTCTCTTCTCTCTCCTTTTCTTCTTTCAGTCTTTCTCTTTCCTTTTCTTCTTTTAGTCTTTCTTCCTCTCTTTTCTGCATATGCTCTTCTCTCTCTAGGCCTTGTTGTTGTTTAACAAACTCTCATAGTTCACTATCTTTTAGCCCAAGACACTCACCTCTTTCGAATTCACTTATCATTATTAGTCGACATGGTCATATAGCATGATTTTAATCGTTACACTATTTTTGCCATCACTACAATTGTGCATATATATAGGCCTACTTCTGCTGTTGTTCATGTCTTCTTCTACTGCCATTTACCATTGTATAATCCTGACTGGCTCACCAAATGTCAGGTTTTAAGTATGGGTTAGGGATTCTTTACAACAGGTGTCTGTGACTTGCTGGCAATAAATGTTAACAACAAACAGACAACACACAATTCTTTTGTTTTAAAATAACATATTCAAAACAAGTCAAATGTATGTACAAAATATTTTTTTACAGTATTAGTTATCACAGTTGTATGACGTTAGTATTCTGAAGAGCTTAGAAAACAAAATTTACAAGGGAGTCTATTTGTGTATGCTAAGCGACTGATGTACTGCTTGACCATCTGTGCCGGAAACTGTTGTATACCATATGAAAGACAGAATGACAATTCACTAGCTATAAGTCACTTGGAATACTACGTAAAGTTTTTGTCTCCATACCTACGAAAGAAAAGGGTGGCTGCAAGTAAAAACCAGGTTGGCTCACAAAAGGTGTAAAAGATAAAATTAAAGAAAAATATCACAAACTTAAGAAATTAAAATGACTGGTATGACGAGAGATTTGAATGATCAAGATCAGGAAATTAGGACATCAAAAATGTATGAAAAAAAGTTGGCTGAAAATGTAAAAATTAACAGTAAGAATTTCTTCAAATACATTAAGGGTAAACAAAATGTTAATATGGAGTTAGGACCTTTGAGGGATGTTCAAGGAAGGCTTGTATCTGATGGTGATAAGAAGGCTTGGTTATTAAATTCTGCTCTTTCTTCAGCTTTTACGAATGAAGATTTAAGCAACATTCCTCATTTTGAACTGTTGATAGATGGAAACAAGATCAAACAAAATGATCACATTAATTCTGAACTTGATAAAAGAAATTTGAAAGTTGAAATAATGATAAGGCTCCTGGGCCAGATAATATTTCCCAAAGGGTTTTAAAGAAGATTAAAGATTGATGTGTGAGCCACTTGCTACTACTTTTTGTAAGTCCTTTAATAGTGGGCAGGTGCAAAAGCATTGGAAGTTGGCTAATGTTACTCCTCTTTTCAAGGGAGGTGATAAAAATTGTCCTAGTAATTATGGGCCTATTAGTCTTACATCAGTTGTGGAAAAAGTTTTAAAAAGTCTGATAAAAAATGCTTTGCAAAGTCATTTAACAAAGTTTAGAATTTTATTGGATAGGAGGGTTTTTCTCCCGTACACAGTGATATAATCTTCCTTAGTTTCCACCCTTAGCAACTGGACTGAAATTAATACATTCTATTAAAATCCATTGACAACATTAAAAACAAATAATAAAAATGTGTATTATTCTCACTATTTTACAAAGTTATGTTTTTAAAGTAATTAACAAATGATTATTTGACAATATGCATTAGGTAAATAAAGCAACATTAAAAGAATAAATAAAGATGGATCAACATGGTTTTCCTAATGAAAATGTTTAACTTGTTTTTAACATGAAAAATTGTCTGCACCCACCCATCTTTGAAATAATTTTCATCTTTTCACAACTAGAAAATTTACATTATCATTCACATATTTATATATATCACCATAGTCAACTGATGGCCACTTCATTGCATCATTTACCCACGAATATACATACCACTTGTATGGACAACTTTCTACCCTTGCAACACTTGAATTGTATTTATAAAGTTTTAGTATACGGTGTCTAATGTTTCAAATAATTGTAACCCATTTTTCATCAATACCTGCAGAAAAATCCAACAGAATCACGATAGTGTCAAACTATATATATTTACGTCAGCAATATATCAGCTTCCATTATCAACCAGAAATGACGACATGAAAAATCCTCAAATACTCAACATGGTTTCACAAAGGGAAAATCTTGCCTTACAAATCTTTTGCCATTCTTTAAAAAGGTTACTGCTTATGTAAATGAGGGTAATGGTGAGAATTTGATGCATCTGGACTTTCAAAAAATATCTGACAAGCTGCCACATAAAAGTCTTATAAAACATTATCTCTATAGGTGTGGAGGGATAAGTTAGCTAATTGGATAAAAGAGTGGCTGTATGGAAAAAAGCTGAGGGTGATTATAAATGGAGTTCAGCCAAACTGGATTAATGCCATAGATGAGGTACCTCAGGGTGCAGTCTTAGGGCCTTTGCTCTTTTTGATTTACATCACTGACATAGATGAAGGCATGGTCAATAAAGTACTTAAATTTACCGAGGATATTAAGATCTTGGATGTTGCTGACTGTGAAAAGAATGCTGCTGCTGCTGCTTTACAAAAGGATTTGAATCATTTAGTGAGATGGTCAAATAAATGGCAGATGTCTTTTAATTATAATAAATGCATGAGTTATCATAATTTGAATTATAAGTATAATTTGAATGATGTAGTGGTTGGCCAATCCCTTAAGCTATCCAAGCAGTGTGCTGTTGCTATTAGTAGGGCAAATGGGATTTTAGATTGTTTCTACAGAAATACTGAATACGAGTCTAAATAGGTTATAATTTCATTATATAAGTCACTGGTTAGGCCACATTTGGAGTATTGTATTGAGTCTTTGGCTCCTTATATTAGGAAGGATATTGAATTGTTGTAAAGGGTTACTAGAATGTTAATAGAGGGTTGTCATACAAGGAGAGGTTGAAATCTCTCAAATTGTTTTCTCTTGAAAATAAGAAGAGTTACAGGGGATCTGACTGAGATGTTTAAAATTGTAAAGGGAATTGATAGTGTTGATGCATCATCTTTTTTCAAATTTCACAGTGAGAACAGTAGGACTAGGGGACACAACTATAAATTTTGGAAGGTAGAAGTCATCTTCAGCTAAGACAGTTTCATCTTTCTAACAAGGTATAGGAAATTACATGTAGTGGTTGTTGAAAAAGATAAAAAGAAGTATGTTATAGGTCAAACCACTAAGGAGTTAATATATATATATTAAAATATATATATAATTGTGGATACAATGTTGCACGCAATGCCCTTCTTGGGGTATCACTAACAGATTTACTGTTCAGTTAGCGATACCTGAAGAAGAGCATTGGCCCGAAACATTGTACCCATAATTATATATATTAAAATTTCTAACAAGGTGGTTGGCCTTTGGAATGGGTTGCCTTCAGACGTTGTAGAGGCAGTAAATTTAAACGAGTTTAAGAAAAAGCTTGATAAGAATATGAATGATAAAGACTAGCTTTAGGATTTTTTTAAATTATTTTAATTTAGTATAGAGGGTAGAACAGTCGAGATTGACCAATATGTCCCATGTTGTCCCAAAACGTTATGTTATTTGGAAATTGTAATGTTGTATCATGTAGAATACATTCCTATATCGTAAATCGCCAAATGCAACTGGTTTCAGTAATTTTCCGAGTTATAACGAACAGTACGTGCAAATGAAAATGTTCTGAATTACAACAAATGATGTTTTAACTTCATCCTATTTCAATTAATACTTTTTATGGATTGGGTAGTGTCCCGTTAAGCTAGCGTTCACTTTACTCCGTACATAAAGTACGTTATACATATACACGAAGATAGAGTTTCCTAACCCTTAAAATTACATCTGTCACTGTATCGGCTTATGAATATCTTCCTCACCTTCATAATCAAATAATAAAAATACTTGTAAATTTTTAGTAAGACTGTTCTTTCTCCTTCAATATAAATTAAGTTTCTTAAATTATACCTTAACTCCTTAAAAGCTCGATAGAACTCACAACAAATATATCAAAATATGTGAGCAAACATCATGCGTATACCTCTTCCCTTGCGCAACCAACCTGTTCCGATATTTTGTATTTTTATATTTGTAGTGCGTATTGGAGGGATTTACACAAAGTCGAAATGTGGGTTAAAATAATGATTCTCTTATCTGGAGTGTTAAGGTTGTTTTGTTTTTTTTCTAAGTTTGTTATTAAGATATTTGTTATTACCGCAAATATCCGCGGTATATAATAGTACGTATTATATTTTTGGTTTCACATACATAGGATGTGAGGGGATTAATATGTCGTGAATGCAGAGTAATTCTAACAGCTGATGCGCCTTCGTGTAGCGATTAATATACTGTTGTGTTGATTAGTAATTGTACGAGCGCGTGTTTGTAAATATTGCCAAGTAATTAACTATATTACGTAATGAACAAACAAAGGCTGAACTTATATTCATCTGTAATTAGTGATACATGTATACGTACACACAGCACAGGAGAGTGACTACGACTGTGACTGTATTTTAGCATAGGATGGTAAAATTATCATACACCACTGCGAAAAACTACCAAAACTCGATTATATTTTGACTGATCATTATTAACAAATACAGTCATATACACTGTGCAGTTCATGAGGCTGACATACTGAACCCGTTACACATGTACGACTTGAAGCCTGAAAGATAAATGTCAGGAGTTCTTACATTTGTTTATTCCTTTTCTCTTTTTTTCTTTCTCTCTCTCGTTTCTTTTTGTTTTGTTTTACCTCGAATTATCTTACAGTGTCAAACGATTATTATGTCAGAATATAAGATGTGTTGAGGTAACATTCCGACGGAAAATCTTAACTGAAAAATATTGAAAGAATACTGTACCCTCGTATAATGTAACTTTCAGAAAGGTGTGAGGGACTTTGCTGGCACTGTAACAAACCTGGGCACAAGAGAGCTCAATGCAGGCAAATTCAACACAGGGAAGATGCCACGGCAGGAGAGGCTGCTACCCAGAAAGGTTGTTCGAACTGTGGAGAGCAAGGACATAAGAAGAATACTACCAATAAGTCAGCTTCGGGAAACCAGTAGTGGTTGGTGCTAATGGATGCCCACAGCCCCATTGTGAAAGTCCCAACAGCTAAGTGTAAAATGGCAAGCACACATAGTGTCTACGTGACAGGGAAGCTAGATGGCCAAAAATGCAACTTTGTCAAATATTCTGCATCTCAGCAAACCCTTGTGAGTATCAAGGTGCTAGATCACAAATGAGTACCAGAAGCCACACAGAAGCTCTGTGGTGTGACAGGACATTATGCAAGGCTGTGGGGACCAGTGTGGGTAACTATTGAGCTCATGGGCATGAATGACAGACACAAATTATATTTGGCTGACATTGAAGACCAATGCATATTAGGGTTGGACTACCTCCTACCGTGAAAGTGTTCGTTAATTTTGATAAAATGACGTTTGGGAACAACAAATACCAAATTCCAGTAAGTTTTGCTGCATCTGTTAAATCTCATAGAAATGCCGACGGACTGAGCAGAAGACTCTGCAAAAATGACTGCAGGCATTGCTGCAAAAGAGAGGGTGAACTAACCAGGTGCCATCAAGCTGAAGTCAAAGTGACTGAAGGAGTTGATGATGGTGAAGTGGAACCAAGTATAGATATCAAAGCAGAACAGGTGAAAGATCACGATTTGAAATTAATAATTGATTTTCTAAAAGCAAGTGTTTTGTGCCCTGCTTGGGAGAAGATGTCTAGCTTAAGCCCTGTGACA